TATTTCAAACTCTTATGATCACTAAACACTTCAAATCTCGATCCGAACAAATAATGCCTCCAAAGCTTTAATACAAATACAACAACAAGCAACTCTAAGTCATGCGTCAGATAATTCTTCTCATGCACTTTAAGTTGTCTTGAAGCATAATCTATAACTTGTTGATTTTACATCAACACACCTCTCAATCCCATCAACGAAGCATCAAAATACACAACAAACGATTCTATCGGATTAGGCAAAATCAAAACAGGAGTGGTCGTCAACTTTCTTTTAACTTCTTGAAAACCTTCTTCACATTTTGCATCCCAAATAAAATCTCGACCCTTTCTAGTCAATTGTGTCAAAGGAAAATCTAACTTGGAAAATCCTTCAATGAATTTTCAATAATAACTAGCTAAACCAAGAAAACTTCTAATCTTAACAACAAATTTCAGAGCTTCCCACTGAGATACAACTTTAATTTTCGACGAATCAACTGCAATACCTCCACTCAAAATCACATGACCAAGGAAACTCACTTCCTTCATTTAAAACTCACACTTAGAAAGTTTAGCATACAACTGCTTCTCCCTCAATGTTGTTAACACAATCTTCAGATGCTCAACATGATCTTCTTCACTCTTTGAATAGATCAATATATCATCAATGAAAACAACCACAAATTTATCCAAATATGGATAGAAAACCATATTCATGTACTCCATGAATACACCCAGTGCGTTGGTCACACCGAACAATATCACAGAATTCTCATAGCGACCATACCTTGTTCTAAAACGAGTCTTCTGAATATCTCCAACCTTCACACGAATTTGGTGATATTCAAATCTTAAATCTATCTTAATGAACACACTTACACCAACCAACTGATCCATCAGGTCATCGATCCTCAGAAGTGGATACTTATTCTTGATAGTCACCTTGTTCAGTTGTCTATAGTCTATACAAAGTCGCATAATACCTTCTTTCTTCTTAACCAATAAGACCGGTGCACCCAACGGTGACAAACTCCGATGAATAAATCTCTTCTCAAGCAGATATTCAAGTTGATTCTTCAACTCTTTCAATTCTGATGCTGACATAAGATATGGATCCATAAATACCAGACTAGTTCCAAGAACTAAGTCTATCGTAAACTCCATTTTACGCTCCGGTGGTAAATCACTTATCTCTTTAGGAAATACCTCTGGAAAATCACGAACGATTGTTAAATCACCAATCACTCTTTTCCACTAATGTATAAAGTTGCCATCAACATAAACATCCCGACGCCATCCTGCCCCGACTCGTTCACTTGTTTAGAAGACATAAACAAGTCATCTTCCTTCTCAGGTTCAAGAAAATAACTGTCTTATCAAAACAGTTGATATAAATATGGTTGACTTCCAACCAGCTCATCCCAAGGATAACATCAAGTTGATCTAACGGAAGACACACTAAGTCAATTCCAAAGTCACTACCAAAAATACATAACGGACAATTCAAACACACATATGAAGTAGTGAATGATCCAATAGCAGGAGTATCAATAACTATACTTCCATTCATAACATATAACACAAGATTTAATCTCTTAGCACAATGCAAAGCAATAAAAGAATGTGTCACTTCAATATCAATTATAGCAATCAAAGGTGTACCATTAACGAAGCACGTCCCTCTGATTAACCTTTCTCCAGGAGTAGTCTCAGAACCTGATAGAGCAAACACCTTCCCTTTAGATCGCTCCTTCTTCAGTTTATCACACTTGGTACTAATGTGCCCTTTCTCACCATAGTTGTAGCAAGTCACCTTCGCACCAATCTTGCACTCAAAAGCCTTTTGACCTGGCTTGCCACACTTGAAACACTTCATTTCAGCACTTGTGCACTCTGGAGCACATGTCCTTCAACACCATACTTATAGCACTTAACCAGAGCAGGAGCTCCCCCCACTCAGCTTCTTGTTATAACCAGCTTTCTGTTTCTCCTTATCAACAGGAGTCACATACGAATTTCCTATGAATTGAGCTTTTCCCCTCTTCTCATTTAAACTCTTATAGTGAGTAGAACGAGCTCTAATATCTTCATCATAGATCCTACTCTTGTTAACTAGTTCATAAAATTGTGTAATTTGTTGGTAACCCATGGCTTGCTTGATCTCAGTCCTCAAACCATTCACAAACTTAAGACATTTGGATATCTCAGCATTAGAAGTGTTATAATGAGGACAAAACTTAATCAACTCTTCAAACCTTGCAACATACTCTGCCACAATGGAATTACCTTGCTTCAGCTCAAGGAACTCAATTTCCTTCTTCCCACGCACAACTTCTGGAAAATACTTCTCTGAAAACAGCCCAAGTAACCTCAGTTTCCTCTTTTTCAATCCTCTGACTAGTGTTACCCCACCAGTCCTCAACTTCCTTTTCAAGCATATGGGTGCCAAATTGCACCTTATATGCATCCAAACAATTCATGACTCGAAATAGCTTCTCGATCTCTTTCAGCCACACTTGTGCCTTGTCAGGTTCATGAGCTCCCTTAAAAATTGGTGGATTATTTCTCTGAAACTTCCCCAAAGCATAAAACTCATCATCATTGCTATTATTCCCATCATTGCCTTGCTGATTCTGCTCAATTGCTCCAACCAACATTACAAAAGCTTCAGCAATATCGTCATCATTCCTGCCTCTAACCATTGTTCTGAGAATTTCCAACAACAAATTCTCGTTAGAACAAACAATATCGATAGTGTCACATACACATATCAAATATAAATGAAAATAAACACATTAACAACTTGGTCAATTGACTGACTATTCTATGATACCACTATTGTAACACCCTTCTAAAACCCCGCTGAATAATTCATCATTTATCAGATTAAGTTAATCATGCATCTCAAACAAGGATGTCACACATAATCCATACATAACAAACTCTTGTCATGCTCAATAACACTAAATTAAATTTATGATTTTCATATCACTTTCACATAAGCATGTAGTAGTGACATCACTTTCATTTAAATGAATATAATATTCAAGTCTCCAAAATAAAATTCATTCATTTAATCAACATAGGCATAAAAGTCACTTCACTACATAATTCAAATACCAATAATAAAATAATGTAGAATATACATTGTATCTCTCAAAACATGAGTCTAAACGCTTTCCCAGTGTTACATGACCAGAGCATGACTCAACCCAAAATAAATACGAAAATATCATAAGCTACTCCATCAGCTACTCTCTTGCTAGAAGCAACCCTAATCTTCAGTACCTAAGTGATGTCGTATAAAACATCATTCCAATAGAAGGGTGAGAATTCACATAATTATCGAAATCATATAACAATATATAATGTATAGAATACACACAAAGATATAATATTATTACACTTCATATGATTTATAAAACAAAACATCACCCAATCAATCATGTTATTCTCAATTACACATCCACAATTTCTCAATTTCACCAATATATCAATTCCACATAATTCAACAATTTCATACAGCAAACATAAACACAATATGATTCAATGCAACTCAAATTCAATACTCATACATGTGGTACCAATCAATTTTATTTTTATTCAGTTTTTACTTTAAACTGGGTCATTCTCTAGATCAATAACACACAAAAAGCCCGTTCTCTAAGCTTTCAAACTCCTCTCTAGGTTTGGGACTAGTCACTATCTCCCTCGGAACTAACAAGAATGTCTCTTGACAATAAATGATGGATGTGCAATTACAAAAACCATATGAAATTAAGACTATTCTCTAATCTTAACATCCATGCATATCTTCAATAATTCATCACACTTGAATTACCACTCAATTTCATATACATACACAATTTCATGAATTATTCACATACCATTCATATTCATAGTATAGTCACACTAAAACAACATAATGACACATAGCAACCAATGTACAACAAGGTCATTATGATTCAACACCCAATCGCAAACGTACATACAACACATGTAAACAAAATTTCATGTTTGATCAAATATGCATTCAAAAAGCATCCAACTTGTAGTTTTAAATTACCAAAAATTAAGTATAAATTAGCATAAAATATAAGTATACAAAATCCTAAAACAATTTAAGAAAAAAAAATATTTCGAATCCCAGGTGACCGCGCTAAGTGAGCTTCTAGGCGCTAAGCGCTAAACTCACTGACTTGACGATGCTAAGTGCGCTAAATGGCATTTAGCGCCCTCTGCAATTTACAAAAAAATTCCTGCAATGATAACACATAACCCATGCAATTTCTTGACCCTGAAACACATTTTTTACATCCATATTACTACAGTTTAAGGCACTATAACCTATATCTAACATGTATTTATCAACCAAAACATCACAACACAATCAATCATCATATTCAATGATTTATCATCAAAACCTAACAATTTCAAAACATGGAAAACTAGAGAAATTGATCCTAATACAAGTTACCACTCATCAGACATCATTTTACTACCCCAATAACCAAGTAAAACCCATCCTTACCTTAATTATGATGAACTCTTGAACTTTCTCCTTAGGGTTCCTCCTCTCTTTCTCCATTTTCCTTTGTGTCTACTTTAGCTCTTTTCCCTTTTCCATTTACTAACCCTATGTTCTCTTTTCCTTAAACCCTTAACAAAATATTAATAAACCCAACAACCAAGTTAATGGGCTCACTATCCACACCCCCACTAACTCTTGACATTCTCACATTTAAGCCCAATTACTATTACTTTACTAACCTATCATATATAAAATACATCAAATAATTTAAATTAAACCAATTACACATAAAAATCAAATAAATAAATAATAAAATATATAACTAATAAATAAAATTTGGGTGTCACATTAACTATTTATTTCTTGCTATTTATATATTGTTGCTTAAAGTTTTTAAAATGTTTTTAAACTCTGATTTAACTTTCCAAAAGTTTTCAAAATCAAGTATTTCCAAACCACACAATTCACCCCCTCTTGTGTGTGAAGTATCAAGTCCAACAATCATCATTCTCCTTACGAATTTGAGACTCTGCCAACATGTCGGGTAGGATGTTTGGCACATCTTTATCAACACCATGATTTCCCATATTGGTTTCCTGGGTCTCCTCACCAAAATACTTTTGAATGAATTGATGATTTCTCATAGGCCTATACATGAGTGAGACATCAATCACATTTCCTTCGGCGTTCAGTTCAGACTTATCACCACGTGGAATGTTGTGGATATCAACATCTGGAACATACACCCTAGGACTAAGGTTCAACTGACTCAGAGAAATACCAATATCAACTTCACCCAACATAATACCATGTTTTTGATTTATCATAACTCCAGATATATGAGAAGGAAATCCAATAGGAGGAATTATGCCGTAATCACTATTTTTCTTTAGCTTCTTCTTTTGAACCACTGTTGATTGTCCAATGTTGGAAGGACCTCAAACATGACCACCGGTATTTCCTTAAATGATAAATCTTGCTTGAGTCTTATAAATTCCACATGTGGTATTTCACAAGCATGGGTAAGATGTTGAAACATATTGTATGACATCTTGGTTTTCTTCTCCAAATGACAACCTTCATAAATGTTTCCTTCTTCAATTTTGAGATTAGTGCACATATGATAGCTTTCTCTACTACAATCCCAAGCTTTTTGTACCATGTCTTAGTTTTAGTTTCTAACATGTCTTTCATGATGTCTGAAACATATTCTTCAACATTATGATCTATAGTGGCAGCAATCGTATTCATCTTAAAAAATTTAATTCTCTTATGGCTATAATAAAATGTAACATACTTTCAAAATAATAATCTTCACAAGAGAATACCTTGTGGGAGGAGCAAGAAATATGAACAAGAATATTAGGCTTACCATGCTAAACTTATTGATGATGCCTATGACACTTCTCATTCCACTGAGAATACATATGTTGATGGTGTGTTTGTCTACCATACAACTTAAAATAGTACAAGAGTATGGAGTAGGCATAATTATTACACTGGTAATAATGTGTGATAGGATGTTTAGACATGTTACATGGCATTCTACAATCTTCTCTCCGAATAGGATTAATATATCTTGAATTTGATGGATCACTAGTATGTATAATCTCTTTCATGTCTTTGAAGGTCACAAGCACTACTACAAAAAACACATTTTACCTCGTACGTGAAATGCATCTAACCTTGACTACAGAAGCGAGGTAACAAAGAGTGTCATAAAAAGTTGTCGCTTTACCCCTCGTTTTTTAAAATTATGAAGGGAAAAGTTATCTCCACATGGGTTCGACCCTAACATAGACACTTTTATCATTTTTAAAACTAGCACATCACACCTCTCAGTTTAAGCATAAAACCAAAGGGTAAGATAAATTTATTTTAAAAAACTCATTACAAACTACATAATATTAATAAATTCATTGTTTACCCAGAATATTACATTGTTTACACAGAATATCAAAGTAAAAATATATAACAAATTTTGAATCTGATTCATTGTCATCACTATTAGTGAAGATCAAATGTTGGATTTTCGTTTCATTTAAATCTTAGGAAGAGACAATGTTGGGTGCAATATATTTCAGATGGCTTTTTCATTCATCTATTCTGATATAAAACAATAAAGTGGTTAGTTAAATAAAATAAATATACAATTATATTATTATTGAAGAACACAAACCTTAAGCCTAATTTATTTTCTGCTCTTGCAATCCATCATAGATAACTTTACCAAACTTTTTTACACTTCAAAGTTTTCATGTTATATGTTTCATTAACATTTTTTTATATTCATAATGCTTTTATAATGGATGTCTTTTAGATTTCACGTGGATCGCTAATGGAAGCATCAAGAGCGTTGGTACTCATTAAATGAATGACTAAGATTTGTTTAAGGATAATGTATATCCTCAATAAACATGCTTAAATATCCCCTAAGTTATGAGAAAACTCAGGTAACAAGTATTTCTTTCCATATACCGCTTGGTTTTAATTGAAAAATGAGGTGAATAAAATTTTATTTTGAAAAACATGATGTGTCTGCAAGTGTACGGAAATATCGAAATAATATAAAAGATTGTCGAACCAATATAGACCAATATCAATCTACTATAATCTATCATTGCTTTATAAAGCTAAGGCTAATGAATAATTTATTAAAGGGGAAACTAAGACTAGAATAAAAAATAAAATAAGATTAAGGAAACATATATAAGAAAAGAGAGGTTGGAATATGGATTCCGTGTACCTCAGGGATTCTGTAACTTATTGCTGTTAATTCATGATTAAATAATATTTAGTAGAAAATATTAGTTTAAAGGCTAAATCTCACACTCTCGCGCTATTGAATTAAGACACACTCCCTAACCATGAGATTTTGCTCTCGCTCGCCCATTCTAATTAAGAAGCATATTTTGAAAACTAATTAAGTCATAATCGAAACCTAAAGTGTTCTCGACCTCTTTAGGATTGATGCCCCGTTCCCACTATTTGGTCTTGTCCTCACGCTCTCTCTCTATCGGCTCTAACATTTATTAATTCTCACTCTCGTGACAAATCATGTTAAGTAACCTCTCACTCTCGTGATAAAGCCATAATAGAATTTATGCAAAACTTACGCCAACTTTGCTACTGAGTCCCATCGGAAACGACGATCCTTACATATCGAACTCAAGACAATTTAGCTAGACATGTGATTAAGCGTAAACAAACTAAACATGATGATTGCAAATAAAAACATCATGATAATTAAATTAAATAAAGCGATAAACAATAATAATAATAAGAAATACGATAAAGAACCTATAAAAACTTGAAATAAATATGAAACTAAAATACTTTGATTAATGACAGAAAGATTTGATCCAAGAAATTACAAAGATTATGGGCCTAAATACTAATAGTGGAGTAATTCCTCGATGTGAGAAACCACTCCTTTTACATTTGTAATTTCTGCCTAATAACTATGAACTGCGCTTCCACGCGATAACTTGAATGTCTTGAAAGTGTGATTCCAAGGTCTATTTATAGGAGGGACTTCATTTTATAACTTCCATGGATCATTTGTGAGTAGTGAATAAAGTTGGAGAAACCTCCAAAGTAGTATTGTTAGTGGGCGGTTACTTTTTTGAACCGCGCACAAATGGCGACCGCCATTATGCTCATGGAGACCGCCATGATGCTCATGGCGACCGCGATGAACTTGAATTGGTAGACCACGTGGTTAGGTGCATAGCAAACTCCATTAGGTCCATGGTGAACACCATGCACCAGAAAGTGGAAAATTCAACACTTTTTCTTCCTTTTTTTGCTCTTTTTTCGATTTCTTCGCATATACGTTCCATAATCGACAAGTACCTGAAACACGAATAAAGCATGACATAATACTAAAAAATATAATAAAAATATACTAAATATCATGTGAATAGGGTCTACAAATATGATACATTTACGTGTTATCAAAATAATTACATTATTTTACACATAATATTAAAATACATTATTTACAACACAACTAGGTTTCCGATCCGCCTCGAATGCCCAACATACTTCAGTATCATCTTCAAAAACCTTCTTACATCATTTCTCTCCATCAATAAGAGAAGCCTTCAAAATTTTCATCTGAGCAGACAAGATACACGAGCAACTGTACTGATCTACCTCTTCAAGTAAAGAGTTAACAGACTCGGGATTCACTCAAAATTTGGCCAATTTCTTCTCAACATCGAAATGTTTCCGCTTAAGGACTTCACACATGTCACTCAGCTTATGACGTACCCTCGAAAGGTCGCTAGAACCTAGAACATTGTACTGGCCATTAGCTACCATTGAAACAAGGGATTCAACCTTGAACAAAGTATGTGACAAATTTGCAAAAAGGCTTTGTCTGTCAGTTGAAGACAAACCCCAAACAATGTCAATGCCCTTAGTAGCCACGACAACAAAAAACTCCTCTAGGGTGATAGGTACCTAGTGTGAGTACAAACTTCATCGTCAAATGTTTTGAATGATATCAAAACTGGAAAAAGCTTGCACTTCTGAACATTGAACGATATCCTTATGTCTTGTGACACTCCTCTACATTAGAGGTCTTAGGAATCATTAAAAACATTTTGAAATTGATCCAAGTCATTAAAAATAATTTTCTCCATAGTTTTTAAATGCATGTGTTGACACATCCGCCTGTTAGGTCGACACATGTAACTCATTTTTAAAGTTTGTAGCTTATGTAAGTCTCGGGTCGACACATGCATCATTTCAGGTCGACACATACTGAAGCATTTATGATATTATAGAAATCTTTATTTTATGTGTCGAAACATCCAGTTTTTAGATCGACACATTTACTATCATTTTAAAGAATGTAGCCACTGACTTGGTTAGGTCGACACATACAATTCGAAAATTACGTATGTACCGACACATGCGATTAATAGGTCGCAACATACTGTTTGTTTGGTCAAATTTTCATAAATCTTTTTATTCTGAATTTGTCCCTCTTTGCCCTGAATATTCCAAAACTATAAATACTCTTGATGGGAAAAATAACAAGTGTACTATTTCTGCCCTTTGTAATAATAGGGAAATTCCCCGAATATCGATCTCAAGGACTACGTATCAGTATTGAGTTCAATTTGTGGTTCAATTAAACAAAAACTTAATTGGGATTTTGGTTTAGGAATTATCACTTAACAGAAATTAAAATTATGCAAAATGTAAATTATGGCTTTTTACAGATATGATGAACATGCTAGGGTGTGGTGTGTAATTTTCCCTATAATGACCTTGAATCCTGATTTCTTCAACAAGTTCATAACCTTTAACTACTAGCCCTTTAGGTTATTTTTCCCCAAGTCCTTAGTGAAAAAACCTTTAACCATCCACCCTGAATCCTAAGTCCTTAGAGATTTCTGATGGAGTCAAGCCTTTATTTTATCAAGAGTGATCTGGTAACTATAAGGTATCCCTAGTCCTAGGTGATATTTACTATAGCCTAATCGTACAAAAAGATTAACAACCACAGTCCAGCTGGTTGTTAACTTTGAGTTAATCCTAATTGGTCTAATTAGGAAAGCATAAAAACATTGCACGATTAAATTGAATAGGAAAACAACTTTATTAAAGAACTCAGGAATTCATAATCATTACAAATTCAAATTAATGACAACCCCTAGCATTTAAGGGTTTAGCCGTTCATATTGTTCAAAATAATCACAAGATAAAGATTAGACATTACAAGTAATTAGGTAGTTTCGGATCTTCAATTGCTTCCTCTCATGAGAATCTTCCACTCTACAAGAACCTCGATCTCCCTAATCTTCAGTCATGT